CCTACCGTTATTCAAAGAGGGCGCCCCGCCTTGTCAACAGAACAGAGCGGATGTAACGCCAAGCTAGCGGCATGCAATACAGACATGCTAGCTAAAAAGCTACAGATGTAGTGCTCCGCTTCTCTCACGCAACACCCCCCCCCCCCCACCACCACCACCACCACCAAGTTTACAACTGCCTGCACTAACGTAGGCGTTAAGCTAGCGTGCAATATAGACGTGTCTCCGTTAAACCCTACCCCAAGGAAAGTGACCTAGAAGAAACACTGTGTTGGTCTTTTTTTGATTTCTGAGAGTTTAGTTAAAATTGGTTCTCCTGGTTTGTGAGATATTTTGTTAACAGGATGAAATAAAAAACATAGACCGGGACTATTACATGATCTCTTGCCTAAAAACACAGAGTCACTCAGTCGGCGAACAGGACACCAACTGTTCTGCCGTTTCTGTAAAATCCTAGATATGAACCACAGTCATCTGGATGTTTTTGTAAAACATAAACACGGTTCAGAGTCACTCGAGTCACACTTTACTGGAGTTATTTACACAACTCTCGATACGCCTCGTTACGTAACTCAGCAGAGGTGATATGAGAGAAGCACGGGAACATAAAATGATTAATAACTTCACAGAGTTCAGTGTCAGTGCAAAGGTGAACCTGTAAACCTCACCACAGTAAAACGCTCCACTGTGTGCTGGCAGCTGCCGCCAGGAAAGGTGGGCAATCATGTAAACTCTGTGTGGGATTATTTGTCTGTATTTCAGCAAAATATCTCATCAACCACTGGCTGGGTTTGAATGAACCTCAGAAAGGAATCGTTTGAGTCAACCAGGTGAAAATGGCCTCCACAGCTCCAGTTTAGCCTACACAAAAGCATCCGTAGCTTGGTACATTTTAAAGCTGTTGAGCTAAGATTTGGTGTGGTGGTAGCTGAGAGTCATCCTCAACACAGACTCTGAGGGCTAACTAATCGAGCATATTGTCATTAAGAAAGGTTGACCAAACAACGCCAACATTTACCAACACAGGCTGATCTTAGTTTGAAACTAGTTCCTGACAGTGTGCTATATGTTGTCATCATTGTATGTTCCCATACAATGACTAAATTAGTTCTCTGCATTTAACCCATCGCATACACCCAGGTGGAGCAGTGGGCAGCTATTGAACGCCCGGGGAGCAATTGGGGTTTGTGTGTCTTGTTCAGAGACACCACGACATGTGGGAATGGCGGGGAGTTGAACCACGGCTTTCTGGTAGTCGACTGCCCTGCCTCTACCCCATCTCAACTCCTATCGCTGATGCCTATCGCCCGCCATCTTACATGCCAAAGAGTAAAAAAAGAAAGGCTTGGAATGTGTGTTGGGGGTGACTCTCAGCTACTACCACGTCCAATTTTAGCTCAGTATCTACAAAAGTACCTGAGTTAGAGCCATTTTCATGCTGGCTGAAGTCAGTTAGCTGTGGAGGCCGTCTTCAGTTGGGTTCACGCCAACAAAATACTGTTACTATTAAATCCCTCCAGTGCTTTTATGAGATATTGTGCTAACAGACAAACAAGACATGCAATTACTCAATCACCTGCCATCGGTGGCGTAGTCTATGCGATACGCCGGCTAACGGAGTATACCCACGAGAAAAGCTCAAGAATTTCAGTATACCTACTTAAAAGTGCCCAATGACACATGACATGTCATTGACACGTGTCGCTGACACGTTAAACGGCAGCTAAATGCTTCTGTAGCAATCTGTCAGTATGCAGCGCTTGTTTATTACGTTCGCTTATCCATCGAGTTGTTGTATTATTCTGTACTTAATACTTGAACATGTTTTGCATTGATACTGTTTCATAAATTCTATAACATGTATTTAATACAAAGCCAGCTGTCTGTTGTTCATGCATTCCAATATAAGCATCAAAGAAATGTGGAAATGTTCAACACGCTTAAAAATCAAAGTAAACTGACGATTACGTTGTACTAATCGGTGTACTTTGGTTTCTAAAGTATACCCGCTACAACAATGTAGACTACACCACTGCCTGCCATTAATGGTAGCGGGCGATAAAGAACCACACATCACCTGCTGTGGTTTTGACGTGACTCACAGATGATTCACCTCGTCCAGGGTAGGATTGAACGGCTTCTCCTCGACTTGATAAACCTGCAGTCTGACCTCCATAAAAACATTTCTCCTGAAACTGCAGAGCGAATCGACCTCGTCTGGAACGTGATGTTAATGAACCGCATTCCTTTGTGAAAATCAGCTTTGGGGTTTCTTCCCTCACCCGGTAACTCCGGTGTTTCTCTCCAATGCACTTTATGCACAACTGTTCCCTACTGAGATGTATTAGCGTTCATAGGATGTCCCATATTAAGAATGTTATTTTGGATGTTTTGTAGATGGTACGTGGTATAAAACCTGTGCCACGCGCGTCCTCATCTTCAGCCGTGAGAATAAACTTACCTGTGGTGGGTTAAAGGAGGATTAAAGAGTTTCCAGGCAGCTGTCGGACCTCCTATCAGACTCAGAAATGTGTCAAATCAGAGCCAGAGTCTAAAGCTCAAAGTCTCCTGCAGGCAGAGATTTGGGACTGAACCACACAAAACCAACGTTCTGTTTCAGCAGCGGCACAAACAGCAAACAGATTTAATGAACGTCAACCAAAAAAATGTGCATCACGTGCTTCCTCATCTGAAGGGTTCACTCTTCTGAACGTAGACATTTTAAATTGGATTCAGCTCTCATGCACAAAATTCGTAAATGTGCTTCACTTAATATTCTCCTGGCTGAATTAGAACATGACAAGTCATTTATTGATGACGTCTTGAAAGCGTTTGTGCAAAACGCCCAGTAATTCAGCTTCAAATCCAACGACAAAGTCTCGCCAATCTTATTTGAGACTGAATAAGTTGCTGCTTCGCAAACAGATATATTTATCCTCACAACAGTCCTGTAACGTTCTGAACTCCAAATATCTAGACACTAATTGAAGCCTGTTTTGATAAATTACAAGGTTAAACATAAAACTTTAATTAAACGTTATGACGCTTTCGTGACTCGCTGTAGTTTTTATGATCACTCAGAGGCAACAGACCTCAGCAAAAACACAACCATGGCAACAATCAGTGAATATTACAGATACTGAGCTAAAATTAGGTGTTTTTTGACTCGACGGTCATCTCCGTTCAGTTCTGGGTGTATTTTAATGGGAGCAATCTTTGGAATTACCATATTTTTTGCCCTATAAGTCGCCGTTTTTTTGCATAATTTGCATGCACTGCGACTTATACGCCAAAGCGACGTAGTATTTAGGATTTTTCCCCATATTTATAAACCAATTTCTGGCTGCGATATGACTGTTTTTATTCATTCCGACTGAAAACATTAATACCATTTTCAGCAAATCAGCCTCATTTCGCTGCGCCGCCTCAGCAAAATGCAGCTAATTTGACCATTGAAGTGCGTTTATTAAGCAAAAGTTCAACTGAGACACACCTTTGCTATAAAATCAAGCAAACAAATAATTGTTTTTAAGTGGTTATCTTGTTAAATTGTTGTTAAAGTCCTCCCATGCACGCCCCTACGGCCACCATTTGGCAGCCAATCGATTTTTGGCACAACACCGTCCCACATTTCCAGGTTGTCAGCCGTGAGGCGTAACAAACGAGACGCGTCAGCGGTAACGCATAATAAATGCGACGTATACGGCTTATTTATGGATTTTTTTCCACTTTATTAGACATATTTGGACTGATGCGACTTGTAGGGCGGTGCGACGTGTGCGGCGGGAAATACAGTAGACATCATCGATAACTCATTAACCTTTGGCGTTAACTCATTTCAAGATGGCCGCCACAAACACACAGCGATAATCAGTCAATATTACAAATATTTAATTAAAATCGGGTGTGGTAGTAGCTGAGAGTCATCCCCAACGCATACTCCGAGCGCTAACATAGCATGCCGGATGTTAAGCTAATCCACATGTTCCTTTGTGAAATTAAAGTATTAACGCAGATCTTTAAAAGTAGAGTCCTGTGGGATGATTATGCACAAACAAATCTTGTATTTTCATATTTTAAAGGCCTCAGGCTGAAGGAAAATAAATTAGAAGCTAACGGCTAGCCCAAGCTAGGCCAAAGAGTTCGAGTTATAAAATCGTTCTCAAAGCAGCTCAAGCCTCAAAGTTTTATAGTGATTCACGTGAACTGTGTTTAATAAAACACTTAATTGTTGTCAGTTTTGTATCATAAAATGATTGTGGTTATTTAGCTAGCTGTAGCACTTCCTGTGCAGCCAGGGGGCATTTCCTGCAGGAACATCATCATATTTCTAACAATAAAACTATGAAATGTGAAATTAATTGTGACGTAATGGTTTATAAATAAAGGTTTAGAGGTTTTTTTTAGACTGGGTTTGTTTTGAGATGGTAGAAATCCGCTTGGATTAGCCGCTAGTTTGACAACTTATCAGAATTAAACTTTATTTCGTCAAGCTGAGGCTGTTAAAAGAGCCACAACAGGTAAAATATCAACTGTTCATAACTTTTCCACTGAACCCCACTTTAAAATAACTTTTACATTTGTGACCCTTCTGGCAAAATGAGTCAGAATGAGCTCAGGCTGCTGTGAAAAATAGGTAAAAAAGCAGCGCGTTATTGCGACATAAAACTTTTCTTAAATATCCAGGATTTCCTAAAGTAGCGATTTTGTATTTTTACTCCAATAAGCGTTCACAAAATGATTTTGTACTTTTCCACTGGTCAAGGTGCTTTCTCTCTTTCTCAACACGGTGCGATATTTCCGACGACACCTAAAGGCAGCATCGTTCATTTCCTACAGGGGGAGGGGCGTTCACGGTCCTCTGTAAAAGTACAACTCCGCACTCCTCGGTGTCATTCGAGCAGCAGAACCAGACTGGAGACTAGTAGCGGATCAATAACCTGCGGGAACAACAGGACGCCGTCATCGATCACTTTAAACCTGATTATTTGACTCTGAAGACACCGAGCCGCTGCCCGACAGCATGCCGTCCCTCAAGCACTCCTACACGGTCACCGTACCGGGGCGACCCGCCTCCTCTCCCCGGGCGGAGGAGCCCGACCTGCGGCGGAGGAGCCAGCCGTTGTCCCGGTCCATGCTGGTGTCCCGGTTCATGGGTCTGATCCTGAACCAGGCCAAGGTGAGTCCTTTTTTTTAAAATTTCTCTGTGTCCCCCATTACCTGGGAGACTTTTTAAAGGCTTATAAAAAATAACTGGGAGCGTTTAATTACTGGTTATCTGAATCAAGTGATGACTAATTTCCAGAAATGATGTGTTAACTATAAAAAAATATATATTTTAAAAACAAGTCAGGCTAAAACTAGAAACACATTTCACATAAACATGCAATGTGTATTTTAATGAGTTTAAAATAAAAGTTTTAAACGTTTCTGCACATAAAATGTTGTAAAAGTGTTTAAAAGTCACTAATCTCTTTAGATTTATGCTCCCAAGGGATCAAACTGTTGTAATAGATTTTGATCAACAGTTTCTGCTGCTTTTAAAGTTTATATATATATATATATTTTTTTTTTTATGTTGTGCTTATAGTTTCCTGACCAAGACAGCATTTTGTGTTAAAAACAAACAAAAAAGTTTAGACATTTTATGCCTAAAAACATTACAGAAGATGAACAGTGTCTGAAAGTCGAGTTTTAAAGAAATAATTAAAACTAATCCAGCAAAGTTTTCAACCTGATCACCTTTTGGGTGCTTAAATGTAATGTTTTAGTGTCAAACATTTGGTGTTTCCTGTAAAAAAAAAAAAAAAAAAAGGGAACAAATGTTTGTGACAAACTTCTGCTTAAACAGTTTAAACCAGTTTAATTTACAAAGTTTCTTATTTCTTGATGCAACACCAGCTTAACCAACTGAAGGAGTCCTGCTGGCCTAAAAACCAGACGAAAAAAGTGGAAAATCAACCCAAGTCTAAAGAAAAACTTGTGGATTTGACCATTTTAAAGAAATGCAAGACACGAGGAACAACCTAAGACTTTTGCACAGTAATGATGCCAGAGGAGAGTCAACAGAACCGCTTGACATCATGCAAACTGCTGAATCAGCATTAATCGTTTTTAGACATGAAGCGTAACGTTTGGAGCCGAGGAGCTTCTGTTGCAGATTGAAAACATCCTTTAGGTTCTCCTCCTGAAACCAGAACCTCGACGGTTCTGAGGAGGCCAGGAGGAGCAGGTACCTGCAGCGACTGAACGGTTCCTGTGGAGAGGGAGAACCTCTGATGAGGAACGAGTTCAGACGAGTCCTCATCACACAAACGCAGTGTCTTACCGACCCACGGGTCGGCGCTCAGTCAGCACTTCCTGTTCCTGAGGGTCCGAGGTGTCGCCTCGGGTCACAGGTGAACTCCTCCACACTCCTTTAATTAAACACCAGCTCCATCAGCAGCTGACTCAGACGTTTGACGACGTCTTTAAACTCCGAGAGCGTCCTTGATCAGAGTTCAGAGTTTTGTTTTCCTCCACCGTCGATCAGAACCTAAATTTAAGGTTTGCTGATTGTTTTTTTTATTTATTTATCGGTTTATCGATCTGTTGACCACGCTGGTGTTAACAAACTGCTCGTTTCATTTGGAGACGAGTCGACGACCAGACGATCGACTTAAAAATTAAATTTCTTTTGCGCTCCTGTTAAAAAAGTTCAACCCACGTGTTCAAATAAATGTCCTGAATGCTAAAACGCAGCGCGTTGACACGACGAGAGACTAAGAAAAGTGAAGAAATGTTGCCGTTAAAATCGTAATTTTTCACGTTTTCCTACAATCGATTATTGAATCAGAAGTATCGAGTTCCTTAAAGTTGATAAATGAACCAGACCGCACATTCAACGTTGAATTCTGATTAAAAAAAAAATCAATTCAAACAACCAACTTCATGACAAAAACAGTGTAAAAAAAGCTTAAAGGGATAGTTCAGGTGTATTTGAAGTGGGGTTCTGTTACGACCGTTATCGTAGCTCTTTGAACGAATTTGGAGAGAGAGAGTTAAATTCTGGTCGGACCGATGAGCTCACGGCTAGTCTGAGTGGGGCGGAGCCCAAAGTGAGTCTATGCCATTAAAAAATAAATAAATAAACGCAGAAAAACATGGGCGATTTGTAGAAATGCCGTTTTATATATTCGTCCAGCAGCGTTGAGTTTGCATTACCCCGTCCTGTTGTAATGTTTGCACCAGATGTGCCACAGCTGCTGCTGCTGCTGCTATTAAAACCATGCAGGAGTCCCTCGTTTATCACGGGGGATCTGTACCCTGAAGACCCGCGATAAGTGGAAAAACCGCGAAGTAGAAATATTAGTACAAGTAGTAAGTAGTAGTTTATTTTAGTGTGTGTGTATGTATGTGTGTATATATATATATATATATATATATATATATATATATATATATATATATATATTACACATACTGTACACACACTAAAATAGGTGTTTTAAACCCTTCCCACACTCTTGCATTAGTCTAAACAATGTTTGTAAACGGTCTAAAGAGCACAGAACGTCATGGTTTCAGCTCCCTGCCTCCTCTGCTCTTTGCCACCTGCAAGCGCTCTTGGCCACGCCCACTTCTCCGCTCTGCATGCTGAACAGCTGATCTGCTGCAGCAGGAAGTATATCCTGCAATATGGGCTGCACAAATGTGCAGCAGGTGCTAAATAATTTTAAATAATGTATTTTAAATAAAAAATTCCATGCTGATCGTGCGGCTCGTCCATCAATCAGCCAGTTGTGTGTCATGTCCAATCTTATTTTGAAAAACCGTGATGAGCGAGTCCACGAAAAATGAACCGCGAAGTAGCGAGTGACTACTGTATATTTAATTTGAGAATTGACGTAATGTTAACTCGTCGGTCCCGTCCAAACTGACGTCCTTAAAGCGCCATCTACAACAGGTTAGATGCTGATTGTTAGTATCCTCTCCACAGAACCCCACTTTTTGCTTTAGTGAGATCCAGAATGCACGGCTCGGACCTCTGATGGAGACGTGAACGCCCTGAGCTCTTGTCAGCCCCGCAGGTTTGACGTTCTGGCTCCGAGCGCCGCCGTGTTTACTTCCTCTCCGTCGCGCGTCATTCGACCTCCAGCCGCCGCGCCTCGCAGGTTCAGGACACGACGTTCTCTGAGGTCCTGCCAGCTGGCGGCGAGCGCTGACATCACGGCTTCTGGACGGGCCTTTTTAAATCAGGAGGTCCCCGCTGTGTGTGAACCGAGCCGGGCCTCGCACCATATGTCCACTTTTTAAACACCAGAACAAAAAGCTAAAAGGAGGCGTTCGTTCAAAGCGAATCATAAATCTGAGGATCTGAAAGCACATCCAGGATTAAAACGAACAAATTATTAACCAGGTGGGGGGTAATCAGCCCAGATGTGAAGAAGCTGCTGGTTGACGCCTGCAGATATTTGTGCCTCCGTCAGCGTGTTGCTGCCGGAGCTCCTCCACCGTCAGCAGAGGCGTTGGTGCACGTGGGTTGTTCCTGCGAGCTCGTCGTGTTACTCATGGCTCATGGGATATTTTGCTAACAGACAGACAGGGTTGACGCCTCAATCCCAAAGGTTTTAAGCTTGAGCTGTGTTGAGCATGACTCTCAGCTACTACCACACCAAGTTTTAGCTCCACGTCTGTGAAACTGGCTGCGTTTTTTTTTTTTTTTGCGTTTGCTGATGTTGCCCAGCTGTGGCGGCCATCTTGAACGGAGTTCTCTCAGACAGGTTGGAGCCGCCGCCGCGTTTCCTCGGAGCGCCAGCAGCAGCAGCTCTGATCCACGACGTGTTCCCGGGAACGTCCGGGAACGCTTTGGATAAACTCTCACGAGCCGAGTCACTAATTTCCTCTGACGTCCGCGGGACTCGTGTGTTTGACTCTGAAACAACTTTCTTCAGTTTGAGATGTTTTCACAACACAGATCTGAGTTTTATAAATCTGGGAGCAGATCCACATCCTCTCTGTGCTCTTCGTGTTAGCAAAAGGTTCTCACGGCTCTTATCCAATTATAAAGGTTCATGTAGGATTTATTTGGCTAAACTCACAAATAGCAGACAGATCTGGTGTTTTGTGTTGTTACGAACACTCTGTTCCTCAGCTGACGGAGCTGTTTACACCTGCTCGTTTATTGTTTGTTGTGAAAACAACAATCCTGATTGGTTCTTTTGGTTGGTTCGACTGGAGGGAAAAAGTTACGGCTGACTTTACGTTGGTCAAGAGCAAGAACAAAAAGGTGGATTGTTTTAGGATAAATTTAACCCCCAACAGGACTTTGTCTATTAGGAGACATTTTCTGCTTCTTTTTGTTAAGCAAGAGAAATTGCCACATTTTTTTAACACCGTAAAACGTTAAACTCGAGGCCCACGGGCCAAATCCGGCCCTTGTTAACATTTTATGTGGCCCCTAAAGAAGATATTTTAAATGTAAAATATTCTCATTTTGCTTTAAAATCAATTACCGTATTTTTCAGACTATACGGCGCACCGGATTATAAGGCTCACTTTTGGTTTTCGAGAAAATTAAAGTGTGCCTTACAGTCGGAAAAATACGGTAATATTTAATTTAGTGCAGACTTCGTAAGAGCTGGCTGACTGAAGCCAGAAAAAAGGTTGGATTTTTCAGCCGTCTTTAATTTTTTTTAGGGAGCAACAGAGGTCATCAAATAGGCCTGTCACGATAACATATTTTGCTGGGCAATTAATCGTCTCAGAAATTATTGCGATAAACGATAATATTGTTTTAAATTTAACAATAATTAGTAATGTCAAATTTAGGAAGAAGTGTTGGTTAATTTGTTTTGTATTTAATTTACACCTTTTTTGACCACCAGATGGCAGTATAAGACTGTTTGAACCTAAGGATGGATAGTGAGGGAGCGAGCAGCACGTCTCACTAAGAAAAATGGGAGGGAGGCCCCTTGATGTGACATGGGCTGTCTCTCTTCGGTTCTCAAAATGGTGGACGCTCGGTGTAGTTTGAGCTCTTTAGCGTAGCTCGCTGGTCGTTTGTTGTGAACCCTCAATCCTTTGAGGCTGCAACGGTTGAGCCACCGAGTTGTCCCCAACTGTCGCAGCGCAGTGAGAGATCACCTTCAGTGTTTGGACGTATTTTAGGAAGACGATAAGTTGCCAGACAACAAATTAAGATTTAATAAACCCTCTCTGGGAGAGATGGCCATCAGTGGCTGGCAGCGTATCTGGTGTGAGGTTTTCATCCAGTCGGGACAACGTTGTGTTTTCGTTGCAGCTGATTGTTTTATTTACAGTTATGGAAAGAAAACTATGGTTCAACATACAATTTATTGATGAATTATCAATCGTAGAACTTGTAAAACTGCCTTGCTGCATTTTTTCAGCTCAGATTTTGTCGTGTAGGCGGCATCAAATAGATGTTTTTTTTTTATTTAGACCAAAATAAAAAGTCCACACGAGCTGCTCGGCCAACGTTGGCTGAAAATGTGACTCGTGTTGGATGAATCACGTGGATAATGTTCAGAAGTCAACAGAAATGTTGCTGTAGATGTGCAGTTCTTCCTAAAGGGTTTAGAATCTGTTGCATTTAATGTTTTTTATTGTTTGTTTTTTGAACAGAGCAAGAGTCCTCACGGTTTGGTGGGTCTGAAGAACCTGGGCAACACGGTAAGCATCCCTTCTGTGAAATCTCCACGGGAACCCTCAGGTTTCCTGCGGCTGCTGCGTAACTCCCGCGTTCTTCTTCTCGTGTGTTCTTCTTCCAGTGCTTCATGAACTCCATCCTTCAGTGTCTGAGCAACACGCCGGAGCTGAGAGACTACTGTCTGTGGAACGTCCATCACCTGGACCAGAGGACCAGCTGCAGGAGAAGCGCGGCCCTGATGGAAGGTAGGACGAGCCTCTGACCTTTGACCTGACTGCAAACATCACGGGCCTTAAAACTCTGTCAAACTATAACCGCGTTACGAGTCGGGTATAGGTCAGATAAATGTGTTACAGGTTCCTTCAGCTTTTCTCTGGAGGATCACGCTTGTCAGAGTTCCCTTGACCCCGTGGGCAAACCACGTCAGTTTCTTCCTCCTGATCTGCGTTGTCATGCTGTCCAACGAGGACATGGACTCCGTGCCGGACCTCGGTGTTTGTAGTGTAGGAAGACCAGCAGTCCAGCAGGCACCGATTCTTTTCTCCAGGTCCACGTTCAGAGTCTAGAGAAGAACCGTCAAAATAAGTGGACGTAGGGGTCTAACGATATCCAGGGACGCCGATCCGTCCTAGCAAACAAGTTTGAGTCTTGTTAGGACACGGTTCTTTGGTTTTTCTTCCGTTGACCCCTTTAAGGGAATATCTAACTTGGAGTTCTGTCTCCTTGATGTTCATTGTTACAAACTGCTGTTTACCAGAAACCACGATGCTGGTTTTCTCACGACTGTGATTAAATATTGACTATTTAAAGGGAATTCTGCACGGTTCCCTTTAAATGGTGTATCATTTGTTAGGAAAGTACATTTGTGGGTTGAGCAACCTGCAGTCCTGACTTCAGCCCATTCGAACACCTGTGGGTGGCTGTGTATGGTTCTTCCACATGCTACTGAGGCTCCTAGTTGTTAAAGGACCATATTGTGACGATCTCATTTCTTCTGACTTGTATCCTTCAATAAGCGCCAAACAAAAGGGAATAGACTTCCAAGAACTCACTTCTATTTCTCCATTTTTTTATTTTTCAAACAAATAAAGCAATTAAAGAAAAATAAACAGGGTTTTAAACTATAGTATTATTATCGAGAAGTGTTGTTACAACAACAACAAAATCAATCAAACACAAATGTCCTCACTCTTTGCGGGACTTTTCTCCATTTTTGTGCGTTTTACTCCACATTCTTGTTCAGTTACGTAATCGGCTCGTCTGACGCGCTCCTTATTTACCAAAAACGAACGGCTTTCAGTTGTTTCATTGTCTTGTTGCAGGTCTCAGTGTGTGTGGAAATAATTGGGAATATTATTCAATCTGCAGGGCAGAAAGTTGTGAACCTTGTTTGGCCTTTTAAGGCAACATTTTTGTGACCTAATCTCACCTCTGAGGACGTTTCCGGACTTTTCTGACGTCACGTTGGGCTTTTCGTCTTCGTATGAGCTGCTTGTGTGAAAACAGTGATCCAAAACATGAAATGCGAGCCAGCTCCTTTTAAATAATAATAATAATAACCACAAAATACAATTAAAATACTTAAAAATGTCTATATTTGTAAGACCATTGTACTTATTGTGTGAATGTTAGCCGTTTTTCTTCCATACGTTTTTCGGAACAATTCTCGTCCCCCAGTTTTCAAGTTATTTCATAAATCAAAACGTTCAGCTCTTTCAGGACAATCCTGCTGTGACTTGTGGTATTGGTGCAACTTTAGCTTTTTGAAATATTTAACCTTTTCTGCTTTTCCTCATAGAAAATGAATTAAGCTCATTTCCATCCTTCATATCTTTAGATGTGTTCACAACATTTTGCTGCTCCGTTCACATTTTGTTCTGCTTCAGCTTCTTTCAGCTTCCTTGTGCAAATTTAAACATTTCAGCTAATTTCAGCTGTTTTGTGTTCCTTTCAGATTATTTCTGCTAACTGCATTTTTGTGCTTCTATTAACTTCTTTCTGTTAATTTCAGCTTTTTCTGCTATTCAGCTACTATTTAGCTGGGTTTATGCCAATTTTAGCATTTTTAACTAATTCCACATTTATTGCACTCATTTCAACTTTTTCCAGCCGAATTCAGCAAAAACGTGTTCTCTCCAATTTGTTCCAGTAATTTAAGCTTCTTTATTATTTTTAGCTACTTTTCAGTTGTTTTTTTCTTACTAATTTCAGCTTTTATCAGATAATTTCCACCACTTTGTGCTAATTTCTGCTTCTTTTATCCTAATTGGGCAAACATGTTCTTTCTTCTTGCTTGTAATTTAAGCTTGTTCTACCTTTTCAGCTACTTTTATTAGGCTAATTTCAGCTGTTTTCAGATAAATTCACATTTTTAGTGGTAATTTCAGCTAATTTTCAGCCTAATTAACTTCTTTATGCTCCTTTCAGCTTTTTCTGCTAGTTTCAGCAACTTCTGCTTTTTCAGCTACTGTTTAGCTCTTTTTATGCTAATTTTAGCTTTTTCAGCTAATTCCTAATTTTTTTAGCTCATTTCAGCTCTTTCTATTCTACAAGAGTATAGAATACTCTTGTAGAATATAAATGGTGACTGATTAATCTTTTTTACAGGTTTGTTTTTTTTGTCTCTTGTTTCTGTTTTCAGAGTTTGCAAAGCTGATCCAGGGTCTGTGGACGTCTGTGAACAACGAAGCGATCAGCCCTTCTAATTTCAAAAGTCAGATCCAAAAATTTGCTCCCAAATTTGTTGGCTGCAAGTAAGTTTTCTCCGATGACCTTGTTTTTTTACACCCTCTGATGCGCTGAATACTGAATATACGTAGTAAGATAAGCAGATAACAGAACCGTATCTCTCTGCAGTCAGCAGGATGCCCAGGAGTTTCTACGCTTCCTGTTGGACGGCCTTCATAATGACGTGAACAGAGCAACGCTCCGACCAAAGGTGTCCGTCGAGGACTTTGATCACCTCGCGTAAGTCAGCGTCTTCGCTCTTTTCTCTGTCCAATAAGTAACTTATAACCTGAGAGGTCTCCGAGTTGATAAAATGATTAAAGTCCCATTAAGATCAAAAGCTAGACTTTGAAACGTTTCCATCTGGAGGCTTGGGAGTAAACCTGGTGGTTTTAATGGTGCTGGTTTCTTTGACAGGGATGATGAAAAATCCAGGCGGATGTGGAACCTGTACCTGGAGAGAGAGGACAGCAAAGTTGTGGGTCAGTGTCTTTTCAGTGACGTTAAAGCTGAATATTCATCCTGAACGTTGCAGTGAAATCATAAAATCTGTTTTTTAAACCGACGGCTTCTGTCTGGATTTCAGATCTGTTTGTGGGGCAGCTGAAAAGCTCTCTGACCTGCACCGCATGCGGCTTCAGGTCCACTGTGTTCGATCCGTTTTGGGATCTCTCCATACCTGTCGCACAGGTGAGAGCACATGCACGCACGCACACGCGTGTCTTAACTAAAACACAACTAGAAAAGTGCCATTTTCTGTAAAATTGCAGCGTGAATGCTGAGAACTGAATGGCAGCACGACGGCTCAGCGGTTAGCTCTGTTGCCTCACAGCAAGAAGGTCCTGGGTTCAATCCCCGGTTGGACCTGGGGTCTTTGTGTGGAGTTTGCATGTTCTTCTCGTGCGTGCGTGGATTTTCACTGGGTACTCCAGTTTCCTCCCACAGACCAAAACATGCATGTTAGGCTCCTTCAGGCCCAGGTTTCCCTTGCAAAACAGATCTGTGATCTCAATGGGATTTGCCTGGTTAAATAAAGGTTAAAAAAAAGACTTCTGAATCTTGCTGAAAATGCTGAAAACAAGTTGTTAAAGCTAAAAAAAAAAAAAAAAAAGCCGATCACTAGCCAAAAGCTAAAAAAAGAAGAAAAAAAAAAGATTAACCTTAGATAAAAGCAAAAAGGCTAAAAAAAATGCTAGCTTATTTATTATTAATTATTAACATTTATTTAACCAGGAAAAGCTTAAAGGAAAAAAAATTAGCAAAATGCTAGTTAAAAGTTGTAAAACGCTACTTAAAATTAGCTAAATGTTAACTAAAAGTAGCAGGAGGCTAGGTAAAATTAGTAAAGTAGTAAATAAAGTAGCAAATGCAAGCTACAAGGTAAAAGTAGTAAAACACAAGCTAAAATTAGCAAAATGCTTTCTAAAAGTAGTAAAACTAGCTGAAAGTGGCAAAATGCTAATTATTAGTTAGAGGCTTAAAGTAGTTTAAGAAGACAAAATAGAGCAAGTTTGCAGCAGTAGATTTTAAATAGAAAAAAGATTTTTTAATAATTAAAAAGATCTCATTGTTTTCCTCTGTTTTGATATGAATGATTAAAACAGCCCAAAATATCCTGAGGCTGTTGAAGATGTACAGAAGTCTGAATTAATAATAAACACAAACAGGATCTTTGTCAAGTTGATGCTGAAATAGCATAAACCAGCACTTTATTTTTATATAAATTAAATTCTATTGTTCATATTTGAACCATGTATCAGATTGGTTTTTGAGCTTTAATCATTTATTTTACCTGATCTTTGTTTCTAACATTAGTTTCTGGTGTAACGTGAATTGTTTTTGTTTTTGTTCCTCAGAAAAGCTCAGGCGAGGTGACTCTCAAAGACTGCTTGAAGCTCTTTACAAGAGAAGACGTGTTGGATGGAGACGAGAGACCGGTAAGATGAATATCAGCTCATTTTCTTTATTTAGTACAGAACGAATAAATCTCACCGTCAGGTTTTTGTTTCTCTGTTTCAGACGTGCAACAGATGCAAAACCAGAAGGAAATGCACCAAGAGGTTCAGCATCCAGAGGTTCCCTCAGATTCTCGTACTTCGTATCCTTTTTTTGCTCATTTCTGCAGCGTGCATATGCATCAAAACCGAGAACCTTCCTGCTAATTTACAGGCAAACTTCCAGCATCTGACCCTCTCATTGTCTGAACTGATACAGTTATCAGTGACACGCTCTCTGGTTTTTACTGCAGCTCAGACCTGAGGAAAGCTGAGGGAAACCAAGTAGAGGAACTCAATTATAAAAAAAAAAATTATTTTTCTAAAGAAAAAGCAGTATGTTTGGCTATTTTGGTATCTTTTTTTATTTATTATTTTATTATTTGTTGTTATCTCAAGAAATCAAAAAGCCTTGGTTGCTCTGAATATTCATCTGATGGTCCTGGTAGCTTCTTGGTCTTTATGTGGATGTAACTCACAGACATGGCTTCAAGTAAATTAGATCAAATGGCTATCAAAAAGGTAACACCCTGTATATTAGCTCTGGAGCTAACGGCCTTCATATAAGTTCTGGGGCTAACGTCTTGCGTATTAGCTGTGGGGCTAACGTCTTGCGTATTAGCTGTGGGGCTAACGTCTTACGTATTAGCTGTGGGGCTAACGTCTTACGTATTAGCTCTGGGGCTAACGTCTTACGTATTAGCTGTGGGGCTAACGTCTTACGTATTAGCTGTGGGGCTAACGTCTTACGTA